AGAAGTTCATTAACGCACGCGTTTTTCTCTGCTTTTAACCAGTCAAAATGTCAAAATAACCCTAAATTAAGTCTTAGACAAAATAATTACCGTTTATTTTTTCATTTAGAGGCGTAGATAAAAATTTGTACAATATACGTGTGATAACGCTTTATTAACTTACTTTTGCGATTGCCCAACTCGTGCTACGCACTCGTTGGGCAAATTTCGCATGCGTACGTTAATAAAGCTCTTATCCCACTTATATCGTAAATAACTATTAAAGAACTAATGTCATAAGACGTCATATTGTCGCACGCGGATAATTTATACATGGACTTGTGCGACAAAAGGTCTTATGACATGAGTTCTTTATGCTATTTTATCTATTTTGCAAAAATTCTATAAAAAAAAATATACCTTAAATTTAATTTTCGAATTTTACTTAAGATAGTTGGTATCACAGTCACTGGTTTGACAGTTAATGTCAAAATCTATTCGCCATACCGTCCTTAATTTACTTATTTATAATCGGCGGCTGTTAATGTTAAAAAAGAAAAAAAGGATTTTCTTTGGTGTTAAATAAAATTTATTTCCAAAAAAGTCTCGTAACTTACGAGACTTTTTTGGAAATAAATTTTATACGAGTCGTAAGTACTAGAAAAATCATAAAAATATTATAACCAATATTTTGGGTGGGATAAAATATCTCATTACGGCACCTAAAGCAGTGTTATAATAAAGTCATTATAAACGCAAAATAAATAAAAGACTTTTATTTATCTAGCTAATTGTAAAAAATTACTACAATGCACCCGAACAATTGATAAAACTATAAAAATAAAACATTATTTGATGCAATAAATAATTGTTTTTATTTTCGTTGTGAATAGCAGACCCTTATAAAAATTGTATAGTTAAAATTGCGTTTTTTATTGAAATAAAAGTTTAAATTGTTAATTGTATGTGCACGCTACTGTTTAACTACAATTGTGTGTGACAGTGTCCAGACTGTTAATGTATTGCTCTAAAAACATGCACAATTGAAAATATTTTCTGTTTTTAATTTCTTACAATTTCAGCGAAGCTTTCCGATTAAATGGTCCATATATCATCATAATTATTGTTTTTATTGACTAATCCATACAAAGCCATGTTACGTTTATGCCATCGCAAATTCCGATTTATACATGCTTTAATATTTTCCTGTTTTAATCGATAATTTCTGTTATTTCCATTTATTATTTATCTATGAACTTTTTTGAGACATTAAATGTAATCACAATTATTTTCCGTTGAATCGGGAAACTGATCAATTGTAATTATGGGATATGCGGAAATATCGTTTTTTCGTTTATTTGTCGGAAATTGTGTTTTTGTTTATTTAATTACATATGTATTTAGTTTAAAACCCAAATCCATTATAAAAACGCAGAGTTTCAATTGTGTTTAATTACAAATTGATTTAGAATTTAGAAACGAATTTCCAGCGTGTGATTTGATATAAAAGAAGGCAGCCAACAACCAACGTCATTACCACATGCAATGCAAATGTAACATGCTGTTTTGTTTGCTTGGTTAACTTGACATAACCATTGATTTACAATGCTAACAGTTGTTGGTCAGCAGAGAAAGACGTAACTTGTAGCTGGAAATTGATAACAACAAAATGCCCATCCTTTTCACTATTGTCCCTATTTAGGACGCCCGTTTCACTCACTTTTAATAAATGAATAAAGTTACCACCGGAAACAAAAAGAAAGGCACAAAAGAATTTTAAACTGGGCTAAGTAAAAATATATTTAATTTGAAAGAATGTATGAGAGCATAACTCCAATTTAGCTGAACTTTCACAGCCTGTATTGTTGCAGTGACAATGATAAATGAAGGTGGAACGGGGTTTGATTAAAAATTATTTAATATTGGAAATTATTTTTTTATTTTTGCTTGTAACGTTCTTAAAAAGTTGTCGTATTCACAGTTTATTACTTATCGTACCCAAGCAGCTCCTATAAGTTCATATCGCTTACACAGCTTTAGATCTAATCCACACTTTCTCTGCCGTTATATCCCACTTTTCCAAGTTTTCTCATTTCGCTGATGTCACTCAACTTTACATAAAAGCATATTGTCAAACTGTGAACAACCCAATCACTATTATTTTTTTACAAATAAGCACCCCTAAATTAGCTGGGTAAGCAAAAAATAACTTGTTGAATTGGATATTTTTTATCAAAATATATCCAGAATATATTAGGGTGGTCGTTAAAAATTAAATTTTTTGCGAAGCCCCCTAAAATGCTTCGTATTGATAAAAAAACACTAGGAAATTTTTTATTTTTTTTTAATTAAAAAGAACACGTGCCTTAAAACGATCTAAGTTAATTATAAGTATAATCATGTCTTTTCTGAAAATATGGAATAATAATTTTTTTGAGATTTAAAAATTATTAACAATGAAATAACTTTACCTTGGAGTGAAGAAATTTAGATATTAAAATTACGTTTGTACTAATTTAGTTTTAAAATAAAAATATCAATTTGAATATCTTTAATTTTTTTATTTAATAGACTGGGAAAAATTTTGAATTTAAATTTTTGTCTATTGTTATTTCGATTAACTATTGTTTTTTTTATTGATTTGGGTTCTATAATTGTTTATATTTCGAATAAAATTTTATTTTTCATAAAAAATTCCCAAAAAAACATGATTATACCAAAAAATTAACTTAGATTGTCTTGAAGCACGTGTTGTTTTTAATTAAACAAAAAAATTTCCTAGTGCTTTTTTTATCAAAACAAAGCTTGCAAAAAATTTAATTTTTAACCAGCCCACCCTAGAATATATATATATATATATATTAAAATTAAGCTAATGTAGTGTATATGTTTAATAGAACTTAATTTAAAAAGAAGACATTTATAATTTTAAAAAAATGTATAGTTAAAATTTTTTGGTAAAATATTCTTAAAATTACCCCAAAACGGACTTGCCAATAGTAGGATTTTAAAATTTCCGGAGAAATTGAGCCGGAGGAAAAAAAACCGGTTTTTTTTTTCAGGAAAAAAACGGAAAACTGGGAAATTTTCAAAAATGAGAAAAAAATGCAAAATTCAATTTTTCTGAAAAATTACCAATTTTTACTTTTGTTTACTTAAATTAATTTAATTCAATTTAGTTTTATTTTTTTTTCTGTAATAGAGATTTTTTTGTTAAGATATTGATTGCTATTTGCAATTTTTTCAAAGCCTGAGAAAAAAACGGAAAAAACAGTATAGGTAGTTTTAATTGTCTTAAGTGTTAATAGAAGCCCCTCATTAAACTGCGAATTATTAAAAATACAATATGGCCTTTTAAAAAGTTAGTAATGACTACTGCAGTACTGAAAAATCAATTAAATTGGGGATATTACCATTAGGGGCATTCCACGTTACTCGGTAATTTTTGTCCCGCCCGTCACAATTAAAAATTGTGAGTAAAAAACACAAGTTATTAAATTAATATTTTATAATATTATTTTTATTGTGCTTATAACTTATTAAAAGCATAATAAACAATATTTTGAAATAAATTTTATAACGTGTAGTTTTTACTCACAATTTTTAATTGTGACGGGCGGGACAAAAATCCCCGAGTAACGTGGAATGACCCATTACTAAATATGCAGTTCTAGTCTTGTAGCATTAAGGTCATAATTTAATAATTAAAGGAATGCACATCATTAATTAAAAATCAATATAATCCAATAGTGGTAATAGATAGGTTTAATTGTTTTTTATACTTCCACCTTTAAAACTCCCATTATCGTACATGTTTCCATGGCACTAAGTGACCTTTTAAATACACATTGACAAATTGTGGGTTTATGGCACTTTAGTCCCGGGCTGAAGTTAGCAACACGTTTTAGTCACGGACTGAATAGTTTTACGTTAATTGACAGCTGTCAAATGTCATACAGTCGTTAAAATACAGTGCCTTTTTTGTAAAATAATACTAAATGTGAAATGTGAAATACAACTGTCCCTTTTTGTACGTTTAACATTTCCCGTGTAAGAATTTTTAATACTTTGTGATAATATTTTACAATTATAGTAAAAAAAACAAAGGGTAAAACATTTTCTTAATATAAATTATATTAAGAAAATGTTTATATTACATAACTGAAGTTATTTTAATATTTTATTATCAATAGCTGTTAAGTTTAATCAAAATAATAACGGACAATGTTAATGGTGAAAATTACGTCAAAAATGTTTAAATTCCATTAGTGTCTAAAATGGTGTTTATCAAACTTGATGCATAATATGCTATTAGTGTAAATAAGAGACCTATAAAAATTACATAGTTCAATTTTTTTTTTATGAAAAAACACATACTTTAAGGTACCTTGATGGTGGAGACATTTGCTCATAATTAAACAATGAATCAGTAGCATTTGGGACATAAATTAGTAATTAAAGGAAAGCTTATGATAAAAACATGTAATATATTTCATATTGCACAAGACAGAGATTAATAGTCAAAATATGTTGATTTAGCATTGCGGAGAAACTAATGAGGAATAATTATGTCAGAGATATAGTATACTTACTGTGCAAATACTTCAGACGCATCTATGCCAACCAGTAATTTAGTGCAATTTTTTTATGTAATAAATTTGATGTCGTATCAATTTGTAGTGAAATGTGGAATTTAGGGATTCAAATATAAATGATATTGAAGATGTGAAATTGTAAAAAGATGTAAATGTATACATTTGAAATTCATATTTTTGTCTTAAAAAAATCTCATCATTTTATAAAACAAATTTCAGCTGTCGTGCCAACCATTTATTCTTGTTATTTTTGCCCTTGGTTGTAATGCTTATAGAAATTTTGTACATGTTATGTAGTGTTTTATTGATTTTTAGAACACTAGACAAATAAGATTTTGAAGAGTAGAGTATTCATTTTTTAGAAAAGTTTCTTGTTCGTTGTCTAGAACGTCTGAACTAATTTGTTATGTTTTTGTTTGTTTTTAGATCTCATGCACAAACCGAGACAACATTCTATGGAAGGTAAGTTAGTTTAAATTAAAATTGTTCGGTTCGGTCCTGGCATAATAATCTCTTTATAAGAAATTGTGTTAAAACTTCCAAATAAATTTTTATAATAAACTTAAATGTGTTTGATATAAAATTGGTTAATAGCTTTACAACTTTGTAAGCACCTAAACATAAAAAACCGTCTTTAAATAGTAGAAGGTTAAACTAAAAACGTAACACTCATTTAAAAATAAAATCAAGGCGGAAATATTGTGGGGCTTCCACTATATCGATTAGACATAAAAGTATTCCCGCCTTAGTTAGTTTATAGTTGTTAGCGGTTAACAGCGGAATTAAATTTACTTTCCAGCAAAAATAATCCAAAAACTAATTAAGAAAGCCTTTAAAATAAGGCTATTTTTTCCGCCATATCTCCGGCCACCAAGGGGTTGTTTTCATGATAACGTTATATAGTGGGATAGTGCTATATACTGCCCCCAGGAGTAAAAGGCCTTCCTACATGTCTTTGACATTTTATGTCCGTTATATACGATTAATATCCTAAATAATATTTTATTTGACTTGTGGCAAATAAAACAAGTTCCTTTTTAAATATACACATCATAAACATCAAAACATGCAATATCCTTCCATGATAAACGAAAAAATGCACCACGCAGCTATTTCGTTGCGTTTTATACCATTTCGAATATATATTTGTACATACACATTCCACGCTTTTTTATTTTGCAGCATACTTATAAAACCTATATATTATACAAATAAAATGTTGTTTAAAAATTTAAATACAAAAATATCTAAAATATGAAATATACTGGACATTAAAAAAATACATTTATACAAATTTGAAAATTAATCCCGGCGCATCCGCCATTTTTTGCAAAAATATTTTTGGACAATGCTTTAAAAAGGGTACACCAAAAATTAACATTACAATTAGTGGTAATCCAGACATATTAGAAAGACCATTCATCCATCAAAATTTAAAAAAAAGAAATATCTTAAAAACTGTTCAAAATAAAAAATAATCAAATTTTAGTTTATCTAGAATTTTACGTAGAATTTAAAAATTCAATAGGATTTATATGGTTCTATTTGAAAAACCAAAGTTGATATTACTTGATAACGCATTGAAAATAATTTTAAAAAATTGTTAACGTTGGCTTTTAATTGTAATACAATTTTTCGTTCTCCATAAACTTCTAATGAATAAGGTAAATCACCCTGTATATATAAATATAGAAATATCTTCAATATGAAAATACTAGAAATTCATAATACATTTTTAAAATCTTAAGAATAATTAATTTTAAAAATACATTTCGACGTATTGGCCTTTTTTGAAAAAAATATTTTTGTAAAAAAATTAAAAAATATAAATGTATTAAATTTAAAAATACTTAAAATTCAGAAATGCATTTCTAAAATCTTTAAAATATTAAAATTTAAAAATTAATACCGGCGCATTCGCTATTTTTGCAAAACATATTAATACTTTAAATAAGAATAAGGAAGTACACTGGAAATTCTCCATAAACTTCCAATGAATAAGTTAGGTGAATCACCCTGTATATAGAAATATAGAAATATCTTGAATATGAAAATACTAGAAATTCAAAATACATTTTTAAAATCTTAAGAATAATGAATTTTAAAAATACATTCCGACGTATTGGCCATTTTTGCAAAAATATATTTTTGCAAAAAATATAAATATCTTAAATTTAAATATACTTAAAATTCAGATATTCTTTTCTAAAATATTTAGAATATAAAAATTTAAAAATTAATACCGGTGCATTCGCCATTTTTGCAAAAATATATAATAAGAAAAAGAAAATACACTAGAAATTCAAAATTAAATTTTTCACTGGAGTGATTAAAAAATTTGTTTTTTCTTAAGATTGCATTGAAACTAAAATATATACACCAAAATTTCAAATTCGATGCATATTAAGAGGTCGATTTTCGTGTTTTCGTGCTTTTTATAAAAAAAAATATAGTTTTCTGCTTCGGCCATGTTAGAGCAGTGAATCTACGTTATTTTATTTTAATAGGGCATAATTTAACTTTAATTTAATAAATTTGGTATCAAAATTTATGAAATGTTATAAAAATAATTTAAATGATTTACGGACTTAATTTATTTATAAAATCGTATTAAAATAAAAATATAAAAATAGAAATATATAGAATATGAAATACACTGAAATTTCAAAAATACATTTATATATATTTATATTTTAAGATGGAAACACCCCCTTAACTTTTTTATTTGTTACTCGATTTTAATGAACAAAGGCTCAAAAGATAGAGAATAAAAAACTCTATCTACGCTATACAAAAATATTTTTAATGTCACTTGATAGATGCCTACTATATCATTTTTTCTATGTCAAAATTCGTTAAAAAATTATTAGTGTCGTTTTTTCAAAAAAAAAATAAGTACGCCAGCCAAATTTCATTAAAAACGTAGAATTAATGACTATTTTAGATAAGTTTTTTTTTAATATTTAAAATGAATGCAAAATGGAGTAACAAAAAAATTTCGTAAAAAAATTATTTTTTTTAGATTTTTTTTGTCGGTTTCTAAATTATTTCAAAATATATTGACTCACAAGTTTACGCTTTTAATCGAAAATAATTATTCTGAGCCTGTAAAGCGAGAAAAAGGATGGTACAATTTTGGAAAACTTTCCATATGCTCATTTTTTGAGTACCCCATTTTGCCCCCCCCCGCTGCCTTGTTTTGCCCCCTTTCACCTCCCATCTGCTAATTGTACCATAAAATTAAAAAAAAACAGAAAATTTGATTTTAATCAAACTTTGACCTCGAATAACTCTAGAAAAAATCAATTATCGAAAAATAATAAAAGAGCTTCTTTGTAGAGCATTACATTTTATATAAGAAACTGCAATGATTATTGAAATAAGTTACTTTGAAACAGAGGTGTAAAATTCCAAACATAAAATTATTTTTTCCATGTTAGTTAAATGGGAAACTAAAATAAAAACAGCGACCTCTTAGAGTTGAGCTGGAACGCCCATATTTGGTGAGGATTTTTTTTATATTAAATACAAACATTTGACAGGGTAAAAGCGAAAAAAAAATTATTTTAGATATATAAATATATATATTTTTGTGTAATTGTAAAGTTCATTTCCTAAAAATGGCGAATATCATGATTAATTTTCATATATCAATATTCTAAAAATTAGAAATTATTTATTTAAATCATCCGTAAGCCAAAATAATAAAGATTTGGTAAAAGTATAGCATTGGCCGTTGTCTAGAATTTTTATTAGCTTTATTTTAGTACGACGTATATGTTGAATTTACTGTAGCAACAGATTTAACTCTGGACCGTAAAACTTTCTGTTTTTTACTGTATCATCAAAAATCTATCTAACTTTTTAACTTTAATGAAAACCTAAATAAAATGATGTACCAAAAGAGCTTTAAATTCGTCATGTGTAGATTTAAGCGCTTGAAAGATTAATTGGTATTGATGTAATTAAGTCAGCTATATTGAAGCAATAATGCGCAGTTGTTCGAAATAATTATATGAAATGAATGAATTGAAATCGGCACTTAAAATTAGCTTTTAGGTATTAAGCTTTTGCTTCAGTTTAAATCGTTGTATGGTAGAAGGCATCCTACCGAATATTTACAAACGGTTTAACTAATACGCTGAACACCACGCTATATATGTATACAAATCAATCACGATACTAGAGGCATTAAGCATTGTATATCTATCTATATGTATGTATGTGTATTTGGCACCTGCATGTCAAACCAAAATAATAAAAAAAATACAATCCGACAAGTAACTGCAACATAGCAACGCAATATTTCCATTTTATCCAGACAAGAGTACTTTTTATAATACTTGAAAATGTCTATAAATAATAAAAAATCTTGCTAGTTTGATTAATTTTTTGTTCAAAAATAAAAAGTTTGTTAACTAAAAAGTTTTCAGTGATATATTAATACATAATTTATGATTAAACGTCAACTTTGTAAAGAATTTCTTTTTGGCCGGACATTTTTTGCTTAATAATTTTCTAGCCAACGAATCATTTGTCATGGCGAATTTTATCTGCTGTAGACATCTTTTTCAGAGCATGTACATGATCATTTTTAGTTTGAAATAAAAAATGCCGCTCAGCTCGGTAATTAGTGGGGAAATGAATTAAATCAAATTTTAATTTAAAGCAATTGTCTGGATTTTTGGTTAAGTGCCATCTCCTTTCCAGCAAAAAGACATTTATATTAGTAAGGTTAAATATATTTTAGAGGGTAGAGCAAGTATTCCAAAGTACCTCATTACATTTCTGAAGAAATCTAAATATTAAATCTCTTTTATTTCGAAAGTCTCGCAATACCTTGCTAAGAACAGTTAATTATATTTTCTTATCTTTGTAATTTAAAAAAAAATGCAAAAAATTTAACAAAATACGCGCAATGTGTTTTAACCAAATTAATAATTTGTCCCTTGTTTACTTTTTAGATTACGCTCCACTAAAGTTAAATTAAAAAGTTTTCCTACCCCAATTCTTTAAAATTATTACTTGAAAGTTTATACATAATATAATGAGCCCAATTATTTTCTAATCTATTAGCTGGAAACTTTTAATATATACAGTGTGACCCATTTGTTTGCGACTCACCCCTGTGAAATCTTTATTTATTTTGCGATTTTAACCGGATTTGTTTTAAAGTGTAGATATTCAAAAAACGCCATATTTGTACAAAATACAAGGCCTACTATGTCAGTTTTTAAGAGTAAATTTTTAAGATTTCATATTAGGGATTTTTAAACAAAATCCAAGCACGACACTGGATTCACCACTCCTCAAAACGACCCTATACTAAATTTCATTAGAAAAATGCACAATAAGAACTACAAAAATTTATTCTGTCAAGTTATTCATGAATAAAACATATATAAACTTATAGTAATAGTACCATGTTATTATTAGTTTAATTTTATTTCAATGTTTTTTTC